CACAACTCCAGGACCCAGGACACACTGCACATTCCCTGAGTCCTTCATGGATGAATGCACAGACATCTCTGATTGTGCTTCAGTTTCCCAGCAGCAGAGTTTCTGGGTCAGAGATGCTCAGAAATTTTTAAGGCTTTTTATATGTTTTCCAAAAGCAATTCAAAATGATTGTGTCACTTTACCTGTCTACTAGCCACATGTAAAAGTACACATTTTTCTATACCCTCAACAACCTTGGAGATTCTTTTTAAAATAAAATTTTGCTGATCTGGCAAATGGAAAACAGTTACTTGCTTTAAGTTGCACATCTTTTGTTATTGGCAAAATTGGGCACATATTTGCTTGCATTGCTTCTTTGGCAATTCTTCTGTTCATATCCTTTGCCCATTTTTCTATTACGCTGTTTGTGATTTTCTTATTGATTTATAAGAATTCTTTACATATATAGTACATAAATATTTCAACATTTTTGTCACGTATTTTTTCTTAGTTTAAGCCACCTTCATTTCTTACCCAGTAGATTGCAACAGCCCCTCCTTGCTTCCATTCCTTTCCCCCTTCCTATTTTTTTATTTTTATTTTTTTAGGCAAGGCAATCCTTGGTTGACCTCACAGATTGCAAGGACCTTGTCAGCTTACAATCCCTTATTTTTTTTTATTTTTTACGCCTACAGCACCTGGTCTTCTTAGGTGGTCTCCCATCCAAGTACTAACCAGGTCCGACCCTGCTTATTTTTTTTAAAAGTAGATCTGAACAAGTCTTTTCCCTGCTGAAAACCCTTCAGTGAGTACACTTCACATTTAGAATGAAATCCACTTTCTTCACAGGCCCCGATTCCTTCATACCTCTTAACATCATCCTTACTTCCTCCTTCTTACTCGCTGCTCTTCAGTCACAGACCTTTCTTTCAATTCTTCAAATGTATTAATATGGTCCTGCCTCAGGGCCTTTGCACCAGCTGTTTCCCCAGCCCAGTGCTCTCTGTTCTTTGCATGGCTGGTTCCTGCTCATCCTTCAGGTGTCACCTGTTTTGAGAGACTACCCTGGCACCCACTGGTTACTGTGCATTCCATCTCCCTATGATGATTTCTTCAGTCTACTTAGCACCTCCTGATGTCACTTACCCTCTGGAATGTCAGCTCCAGGAGGGTAAAGACTTTGCTTTGTTCATTGCTGTATCCTCAGTACTTAGAACAATGCCTGGTACAGAGAGTAGGTGCTCAATAGCTCAAGAGAGAACAGATTGGTGGTTACCAGAGGCAGGGGGCAGGGGTGGGAAAAATGGGTGAAGGAGATGAAAAGGTACAAACTTCAGTTATAAGATAAATAAGCTCTGGGGATATAATGTACAGCATGATGATTATAGTCAGTTATACTGTGTTGTATGATTTGAAAGTTGCTAAGAGAGTAGATCTTAAAAGGTGTCATCAGAAGGAAAAAATGTAACTATGCAAGGTGATGGATGTTAACTAAGCTAATTTGGTGATCGTTTTGTAATATAGACATATATCAAATCATTATGTTGTATACCTTAAACCAAACAATCTTATATGTCAACTATATCTCAGTAAAACTGGAATAAGTAGCTCAAGTGTTTGTTGAATGAATGATGGAAAAGGCAGCCCTTCCCACTGTCTTCATTCCTCCATCATTTTTTGATCTTGAAAGGTTCACTCCTTGGTCTCTATGGATGTGAGGTGCAAGTCCCACTGGGAGGTGCCCCAGTTTCAGCTAATATTTTAATCCTTCCTTCCTTCCTTCCTTCCTTCCTTCCTTCCTTCCTTCCTTCCTTCCTTCCTTCCTTCCTTCCTTCCATATTCCCCATGTCTTATTGAAAGTCGGCTATGTATCAGGCACTGTTTTATGTCTTGGGGCTCCAGTGTTGTCCCTACCCTCATGCACTTACTCCTTCCTTAGCAGCCAGCACCTCTGTTAGAAGCAAACATACTCGGAGTCAGCTAACACTTAAGCAAAGTTTAGTGGAAAACTTGACTAATCTTGGGACTGGGATGGGGATGGGAGGCACAGGAGTCTGGGAGGGAAGTGGGAATGTCACAATCTTTATAATTGCCTACTGGCTGATCACTCAGTTGAAGCCCATCACCCATCCCATTCCTATTTCCTCACTATTCACTCACTCCCAAGTCCCAAATCTGGGTTTTGAGACCCCAAACTCCTCTCAGACTGGTAAATGAGGTCTCTGAACTAGACTTGGCTCTTGCAGAGTCTCACGCCCTGCCTAGACAGTCCTAGTGCTAAGCCTGCCCCATCCCAGCTGGCCACATGTCCAGGGGACCCAACCGGTAGCTCAGATGTACGTAGTTACCAGCATCCTGGCATAGAGAAAGGGGGTGGGGGATTTCCTCAAAGGGATGTGGTTCCTCTTGGGGAATATCAACCTCCACAACCCCCAGCCCAACCCATTCAGTCTCACAGGGGACAGAACACAGTTTCCAGAGTCGAAAGACATAGGTCCAAATTTGACTCCATACTAAGCAAGTCATGTCACTTCCCTGTGCCTCAGTTTAATCACCTGTGAAATGGGGGTGCCAATCTTCCCCACCTCAGCAGTTTAAACAGGACACTGACACATCGCCAAGCTTGGGACTGGATATAGCAGGATGACACTGACACATCGCCAAGCTTGGGACTGGATATAGCAGGATGCCAGCAAATGGGAGTTCCACATCCCTTCCTGTGTTTGAAGCTTTGGGCCAAGAACAGGGTCCAGGGCTCAGAGTGAAGAGACATCCAGTCTAATGCCCATTGCTCCAGGGCAGAGATTGAGTTCCAAGGAGGGGAGTGACTTTCTCAGAATGATTTTACGGCAACTCCAGTGCCTAAATAGTGGAGTGGCCACTCCTGAATCCAGTCCCTGAGTTCTGCTTTCATATGCAAACTTGTAAGCAAGAACATTTCCAGAGAGAGATCCCACAGACTCATCTACCTGGACAATCCTTGGAAGACTGCAGTGTTCATTAAAAGGGCCCAGACAAGGAAACATGAGCTGTGATAGGACTTGATTATTCCTTTTCACCATGCTACTGGGAACCTCATTCTTAATACTTAAATTACAGCTATTTTCACCCTAATAAATTAGCATATATACTTATTTCTTTCCTAAGAACTTCTTCCTATCCTCCTCTCTCTCTCCCTCCCCCGTACTTTGTCTCTCCCTTCATGTCTCTCTCTCTCTCTCTCTCTCTCTTTCTCTCTCTCTCATTTCGACAATTGTCTTTTCAAATTCTCTCCTGGAAAACTGGATGTGGAACCAACTCCCACCAGGCACTATGCTAATGTCTCCTTAAATTCTCACAATGGCTCCCAAAGGAGGGATCATTAATTATCTCCTCATTTCCTAGATGGAGAAGCTGAGACTCAGAGAGAAGAAGCGGCTTGTCCTGAATCACATAGATGATAACTGAAGAAGCTAGACCTGTCTTCCTCTAGTGACTCTGTTTGGGGAGGCCTTCTAGACCCCCGGTTCTTAAAGCTCCCCATTCCATATGGGGCCCATTCAGCCAGCTCCAGCCACCCTACCTTGAGTGTGTCCCCCTTGTTGAAGGCCAGCTCGTCGCTCTCTGTGGCCTGGAAGCTGTACAGGGCCACGGACTCCATCTCGCTGTCCCTGAGCCCCAGCAGCTGGGCTGAGAGCAGCACTGGCAGCTTCCTGCTTCCTCTGCAGTCGAGGACCGTCTTCCTTTGTTTTGAGAACGTGTTTGTTCTTTTGAGGCTGGGACTGAAACTACCCCTGACAGGGGAGAAACAGGAAGCAGAGATATGTCACAGAGCAGGGAGAGCATGGGAGCTGGCCTGGCCCCTCCTCAGACCCCAGAGGTCAAGTATAGCCCTAGGGGAGTCTCTAGGCAGCCCTGGGAGTGGGGGGTCTCTCTCCTTGTACCCATGTTACAGATGATAAAACTGAGGTCTCCTGAAGAGAATGCTGCAAAGCCATCTTGCCAGCTCAGGCATTATATTGTGGTCCCAGCCACTCCCACCACTTTGCCAGTCTGTCCACCACATTTTCTAAACTCCAATGCCTCCTGTGTCTCCCAATGCCCACTACATCAACCCCAAGCTCTTTTCCTGGTATTTAAGGCCCTTCCAAGACACCACCCCCACGCACCACCACACAGCTTTTCAGGCTTATTCTTTGTTATTCCGCTTTCCTCTAAACAAACCCTGGCCTCAGCCCCAGAAGTGGGGACACACTATACTTTCATTTTATTTCTCAGGCTTTTGCACATGCATATCCCTCTGCATGGTGCTCTCTCCCTCTTTCTGCTCCCAGGAGACTCTTATTCATCCATCGATCCCCAGCTCAGAAGGTGCCTCTTCTGGTTTAAACACAGGGCACCTTCAGTGAGATGGAGATCCTATGGTCAAAAAGAAAAGTAAATAAATCTTCACTTTTCCTCAGTAGACTTGGTATGCGCAGTGGTATCGGTGCAGCAATTCTGACACAGTTGCGTGAGTATTGTGGGAAAGAGCATAAATGGATAAATACGGTGATATTTTTCTCTCTGGGAAAGAGAGGAAACATAAAACTGGAAGGGGAAAGTAAGGAAGAACCTTGTGGGAATTGGACAGATAAGTATGAAGTGAGACTATGTTTTTTCTGTTAAAAAGAGTTTTTCCTCCTTTATTTATATCAATATGGTTATATCATGCTTTCATATTTTAGTTAATGGATTACAATCCATTACTATCATTATTTCTTTTCAATGCTTAAATTGTCCCAGATTTGGCCAGCGAGACCCACTTCAAGCTGCTTCCTTGTCTTTCTGACAAGTTTCCATCATTCACTGAATACTTTTTATCTTTCTGACAATATATTCTAGGCTCATCCAGGACTTTTCTACCCCAGCCCTGAATCAGCCATCTCTCCAAGGAGATAGAAGATGGCATTTTAAGTAGAGAATGGTGTTTAGAAACCAGGATTTAGCTGGTGTTTGGTGAGCTTATTGTTATGGACGTGTCATTCCTTCTAGACCCTCTCTGCAGACAGAGCTAGAAAAAAAATATATATATACACTCACTATATATACATATGTATACTCTTATATAAATATACTCATTTTACACATAAACTCATTATATAAGTAATATATACATAAATTCATATATACAAACTGTATGTATGTATATAATGAGTTTTTAGAAATATATTTCCTAGTAAACAGAATATGTCCATATTTCTATATTTATTTCTATGCATGTCTGTATAATTATAGCTAGTAGATTAAAAAGCCATGAACTCAATCAGATATGAATTAATGAATGCAGGCGAAGGGTATATATGTGTCACTATACTTTTCTTACAGATTTTCTGAAGGTCTGAAATTTTTCTATATAAAAAGTTGAGAAGATATATGTGAATCTGCAGTTATCTCAAAATAAAAGTTTTAGTTCCAAAAAAAAAAAAAAGTTGAAAGGAAAAATGAGGAAGTCGACAGAAACTTGTCACTGGTCTTGGAGCCCCAAGATGGCCAGGCAGGTGGAGCTGCCCAGACTTTGATTTGGTCCCATCCCAGAGCAGGCCACATGGTCTTTCCTTGCAGCCCCTCCTTGTCTTCTGTCTGCCCAGACCTCAGGTGACAGGATGTTATAAGATGTTTCTTTCCGGCTCAGTTTCAGTGAGGTTTCAAAACCTCAGAATGATGCAATCAGATTTGGGATCCACCCCACCCCAAATCTGAGGCACTTGGAGGCAAGGGTGCAGAGGGTTCCCTTTATGAAGCTGAGCATGTGTCCTCTGGGGCTTGTGGGCCAGGTGGGTGGTTTATTCTATGTTTTTCAAACTACTTATTCTGTGCCAAGTTATGCACAAAAAGGTGAGTATAGCTCTCCCCAGGGCCTATGGCTAGTAAGTGGCAGGGCAGGGGTTCAAATCCAGGCAGATCTGAGCCCAGGCCCATGACACAGCCCCTGTGCTACACAGCCTCAGCCTGGAACCTGAGCTCCCTGTTGTACAGTGAGTCAAGAGAGCCGTGTGGGAGGTGAGCAGCAAATCTTCGGAGGGCAGATGAGTCCAATTCTGAGATCAAACAGTACCCCACAAATAAGACTTGATTGAGAGGACCCTTGAGGGGTTCAGGCACCCAAACTGAGTGTAGATACTGGGTTCTAGAATGAGGGGGCATCAGAGTTAGCAGCTGGGAGATTATCAAGCCCATCATGGAGCTACAGCCAGGGTCCCTCAAAAGCTGCCACAGAAGGAAAAAATCAGCGTTGGCCACTGGCCACAGTGAACCAGCCACATAAGACTGTCTCAGTCCTTAGGCCCTAACCCCTTGTGGCAGGTTGATTAACGGTCCAAAGACATCCAAGTCCTAATCACTGGAACCTGTGAACGTTTCCTTAGATGACGTAGGGATTCAGAAGGAGCCACCCCAAGGTATGCCTCAGTGGTATGCAGATTATTTTGGGCTAAAGGCAATTTTAGCTTCAGGTTCAAGAGAAATTTCTACCCCTACATTTAACTACCAAAAGAACTTGAATTAGGGGCTTTGAGATTATATGGCATAACAAACTTTTATTTACTACATATCTGCTCTTATCATCTTGCAATGACTCTTTGAAGCCTCCAAGGCACCTTACCTCATCCCTAGCTCAGGATGTCTTATATACCTAGATCTTCTTTTCTACCTCCGAATCTCTCATGAATGTGCGGTCTCTGACTTGCTCATGTAACATGTAAAAATTTTGTTATTTTCTCTTGCTAATCTGTCTCATGTCTATTTGATTATTAGACCAGCCAAAAGAACCATGAGGGTTGAGGAAAGTTTGTTCTTTCTCCACAAGGACAAGGTAAGGACCTTGAGATGTGGAGGTAATCCTTGATTATCCAGGTGGGCCCTAAATGTCATCTCAAGTGTCTCATGAGAAGAAGATTGAACACAGAAGAAGCAGGTGATGTAACTGAAGAACGAGGCCACACTGCTGGCTTTGAAGATAAAGGAAGGGGCCAGGAGCCAAGGAATGCAAGGAATGCAGCTCTAGAAGCTGAAAGAGGCAGGATGGGTCTCCCCTGGAGCTCCAGAAGGGCCAGCCCTATGATGCCTCAACTTTAGCCCAGTGATAGTGGTTTTGGACTTCTGAACTTCAAAACTGTAGAGAATAATTTTGTGTTGTTAAAACTACTATGCTTGTGATGACTTATTACAACAGCCACAGGAAACAAATACATCCCCTCTCCCTTGGGCTGATCCCAAGGGGATAACAGTCAGAAATGGCAGCTTGAAACTAGGAAATGGGGACAGAGAAGAAATTGACTGCAACCTTTCATTCCAGGCCTAGGGCTGAGGAAGAGGGGTGGGTGTTGGGGTACTACAGTTTCAATGAAGGTTAGAGTTCTGTAATTATTAGATGAGACTAGACCTTTGAATACTCCAAAGAGGCTGGTGGGAGACTTTTTATCATTCAAGATTGGTTGAAACATCTTAGGGACCTTCTTGAGTGTTCATCCTGGAGCAGGGAAAGAAGCATTTGTCAGGGAAAGTTTAATAAGAAAGTGGAAAAAGAAACAAGTTGTTTTCTGCTGCTCACACATTCAAGAACTATTTCTTGAGCCTCTATAGCCTCTATTCTGTGCCTGGTTCTATGTAAGATTTTGTACGTATAACAGTAAAAAGAAGAAAAAAAAGGACATTAACCTCTGCCTTTCAAGTTCAACATCTGGCATGACCAGCATGAAGAGCTCTGCTAAAAAGTCTTCCATAAAACTAGTGAAAACTAACAAACAAGCAAATATTTAAAGCTTGTGGAAACGGTCCTACGTCATGAATAGAAAATGAAAAACATCTATTTAAGAACATTTATGAAAACTGGGTAAGAAAGGCGAAAGTGTATGGTATTTGAACCAAGACTTCTCCTTCCCTTGACCCTCCTCCTTGCTCAGTGAGGCAGATGCTATTTCAGATTGCTGTAGCCAAGAACATAGGGCCCCTCTCCCACAAACAAAGAATACAGGGTCTCTCCCCCAGACCAAGAACATAGGACTCCCTCACTTCCTATATCCCATCTACCTGTTGATGAGGCTAAGTCCAGGTGGGTATGGTCAAGAGGTAGGGGCTCCCTTTTTCTATCAAGCCTCCACTCAGGGGATAGAGGCTACACTGTGGGTACAGTGTGTTGAGAATACTGAGGTCTTGATCACCCCTGGCCTGGCTCATGAGGCAGTGGCTTCACACTAGGAGAGGTAAGCCAAGAAGACCTCAAGCTGCTATCCACCTACCTCCCCACCAGTGCTCAGCTCCTAAAAGAAGGATATCACTCAGAGAGAAGTTCGCCATTGTTCCCATCCCCAGCGCCAGAGCCCTGACTCAGAGATTTTTGCCTGGTGATAGTGTTGGGGGTCAGAATGATTCACCCCAAGATGTGCCTCTGTCATATGCAGATTGTTTTGAGCTAAAGGTAACTTTAGCTGTAGGCTCTAGAGAAAATCTCCCCACACCTCCTCCACTCCTATAAACTACCTAGAATAAACTGTATTAGGGGCCTTGCACATAATAAGAGATTATCAGAGATAACCTCTTTTGACCTCTCTATAGGGCAGGACAAACTTCTGTTTACTAAACATCTGCTCTTCTTATCATCCTGCAATGACCCTTTGAAGTACTCAAGGTGAATTACCTCATCCCTAATTCAGAATGTCTTATATACCCAGGCTTCCTTTCTGTC